TCACAGGTCAAAGGTCAATGGGGCACGGCAGATGTTGGGAAATTTTTTGAGGACATGGTCTGACGGAGCGATTGAAATACTTTTTTGTTTCAGCGGTGACCTAGCATTTTTATGGCTTTATTGAAAGAACCATGAAATGTACTTTCTGCTGACATGCGAAGAGTAAGTGTCGGATAACCTTTTAACCCTCAAGAGGAGGGTTAAACATGGATTTGTTGACTGTTAACAAAGGCCTGAACTGCTTTTGCTATTGTGGATGTGAGGCTACAGTTGCACAGTACAATTGCAAAGGCAAATGTTTGTTGAACAAGGTTTACGCTCCTCAAATCATATTATTTTCTAAAGCAGTCTCTGTATTAGCACACTGAGTAGCACCCTGTATTAGCACACTGTAATGAACCCTGACTGCTCGCGTGTGTAGGCAAAAACATGGGGGCAGCCCATTACGCATGCATGGGGGTGAACTGGCACTATTCTAATCATAATTATTGCCTGACAACCTGCAATGCAGATGTGTTAACTCACAGCTGAGCGAAATTCTCCTTGCCTGAATAGAGTACCGAAGTGTGACGTCACGTTGGCAAGACAACGTACGGGCTGGTTCTACACAAGCCACTGGCTCCATAGTGTAGCCATAGCGTGAAAATGTTTTGCGTACGTAAAACACGAGTGTGTGCGCTGCAGACAGCGGTAAAGCATCGGTAGCAAGTCGATCTTACAATATTTAATGAATTAAAAAAAAAAATTAAGAAAAAAAATTTTGTTTTTGTTAAATTTTTTTTTTGTTAAATTTTTTTTTCCCCCGTTCCTTTTCACTTCCATCCTTTGGAAATCTATAAAAACTGCAATAATGACTCTCAGAATGATGGTTACAATCGGGTACAAAACACGACACGCAGTTAATGTTACCAGAGCATATGATTGTGTAGAACCAGCAGGCTCGTTGTCATGCCACCGTGACGTCATCACTTCGGTACTCTATATACTCCTGCCCTGCCTGCAACTCAATGGAGTGAGTTTATCACGCACGAAGGGTGATGCCATCTTTGATTATTGATGACACTTGCACGCGCCATCTCGCGGCAACTGCTTTTGCTATTAGAGCATCCTTCACCCGCCCCTCTCCCACTCTCCCCCCACCACCACCACTACGCTCGTGCTCGACACATATCCATGATAACATGTTAATATAGCGAAGTCACAGCTGTATCTTTATTACTGTACTACCGGTATAGCAAAGCCTAGCTATCATAGATTTTAGATCTGTATTAGTAGTATCCTAGATATATGCTCTGAGCACGAACGCGGGGATGGGACGGTGCTCATTGTCTTCATTCGTTTGCCAGTGAGTTTTAGCATCAGACACCTGCGTCAGTTTGTTGAGCCGCTGTCGCTCTGCGGCACTTATTTGTGGTTTTTGTAGGTTAAGTGACATAACTTTACACCAGCAATGCAATATAATCTTGCCATTGTATTTGTCTGATGCCAATTCTTTATTTATCAGAAATTGATCAGACCAAGGAGAAACTGATGAGTGTATTGGAAGATAGGAGACTCAGCTTTCTATACCCAATGTTGATGGTAAGATATGTGTCTATGTATCTATGCATTTATCTATATGTCCATTGCTGATGGTAAGCAGTAGTCATAGTAGTTAAGCTTAGTTAGATGTATCTAGTCCATATAGGTTGGTTGCCCGTACATTTTAAGTAAGCATTCGGTACCTACTATACATGCTAAACTGAACATTCTGTATATTTCTGTTATAAAACATGATTTCTAGTATAGCCATAACAGATGAGAGCAATGTCTCTAAAAAAATTTAGATACCAGTCGATTACTTGTGCGTGTCAGTTTGTGTAGTATTCATATCGTAGAGAGTAATGTTTCTTATTTGTGTTCATGTGTAGGTCCAGCAGAAGATGAGCAGAGCAATTGAGACTGATCCTAACCCAACATCCATCTATAAGTGGATCAAGGACAATGTGAACAGCAAGATGCACACAACCCCAGTGTTCATAAACGTTCTAACAACCAGGTATGTAACTCCAGATGGAGCGCATGGATACTAGCAGAAGCGTTGCCGAAAGGAGGTTTGTTAATCCGAAGTGCTGCGGCGATCTTGTGCCGCAGTTCCCGGCAAGGACCCGGACCGCACGCGACGTCGGACTACTAGAACGTCCTACGACAGTATGCAGCGCTGGCAGCTTATGGATCCGTGACGCCGACTGCATAGGCCGCTGCGCAAGAATCCATAGTGCCAGCGAACAGTCCGCATTTTAGATGTGGACACAGAGGGCAGACATTTGGCGAACGATGAACAGTGTTCACTTGTTATAAAAACTGTAACCGCAGTAATCTGTTTCGTAACGAGCTGTGTCACGCGAAATAGAATGACTGCGAAATTCTGAACATTCGGCAGAACCCTGCCCCCAGTAATGGAAACGGCTGTCAGAATCAAGGCAACATGCCTTACCGCGCGTCTTCGCGGCCCAAAGCTTGCCAACGTTTTTTGCAACGTTCCAATGGCTTGAGGGCGTTTCGTAACGCGGAGTTTGAGAAGCAGTCGCGCCGACTCCGCCGCCTATAGCCCATAGACTGCACTCGCTCCACTCTCGGCTTTAGCTTGTCACTCGATGCTAATCGAGGGGCCTGGGAGCCGAGTCTAGTCTATAGTTTATAGCCTTTGCACTCTCGCCAACCTTCTCGAAGAGAGTAGCCTATTACTAGAAACATAAGATTTCTAGTAAATAGATTTCGTATTTAGTTAGCATTATTTTATTGAACGCTTTCAGTGCCCTGTGTCTAGTAAGGGGTATTCTACCTAGCAAAGGCGTCTTTGGAGCTGGAGGTAGTTTAGTACTTATCTTACTATATAAGCTAGTATAGTAGTACTAGTCGTAGAGTCTACTATACTAGTGGTTCAAGGTAGAGACATGAGTCCCAATATTATATGCGGCCAATGTATTGGACATGAAGGCCAATAAAACCAATGTCATTTACATTAATATAAAGTATATATATATTTAATAGGTTAGGGGTTATGGTCTAGGGTTCGTCATTATTAGTAAGTTTACTGTAACAGAGTTAGTCATTATTACTATTTAGCTCCTGCCCGTCCTGGTAGTTACTAGTACTAAGTTACTAGTAGTGCTGCGTAACTTAGTAGTACTACTTAGTAATTATTGTAACATGCTACTTTGTAGTAATTAGAAGTATTCATAGGTGTGGAATGTACCAAAAGTCTTTAAGTTTCTCTATCTATTTCGCCTATAATCCCTGCTAAAATGCCGGTCAATGCCTATCTGCCCAACACAAAGTACACCGAACGCACGACCGCGCTGCTGCACAGGGATCTGAACGTTTCAATAAGAATTAATGCCCTAAACAAACACGAAATCAATACCTTAGTAGTAGTACACAAAATAGCTGTGCTGCTGTGCACAAACCAACCGATGAATAGAGAGTTACACTTACACATATTAGACTGACGCCTCTCAATCCCGACAGTTTCCGGTGGTTCCAGACGCTACCACTACGTGTCCGAGCGTGTGTCTGTTGTGTAGAGAACATGCCGTGACTTAAAGGTGGGCAAACGGGGTACCAGTCTACTTATGCCTATTAGATTCGGCATTTCGTTGCGCGCTAATCGCACGCAATATGGTTACTACCTCATTCAACCAACAACAAACAAAGGAAGAAACTTGAAAACGTTTATTACAGGCAAAGGAAAGCGCGCCTTGACTCGCGAAATTTTCGAATAGGAGCATCTTCTGAAGAAAGTCGAGCTCCCTGGGGGGTAGTTCAAACCTGATGCGTCGAATGGCCAGAACTGCTCAATTCAGCGAAGTTGGTGCTTGCGTTATATATGTAACGTGTAAGGTGAAGGATGGGCGGCGGCAGGCGAAATCGTGTTTAGGTAGCGGCTCGCAGTGCGCGGCGGTTGGCGCGCTTCGCGCCGGATATTCGTGCGCCAGAATGTCAAGATTGCTGATCCAGCTGTAGTTCCGCCAAGACTTTCTAGTATGGTGACACCATGCATACACATCTACCGAAAGGACTGACCACTTGATAATTTCATATTATTTAAATTATAGTTTACTTAAGTACATTCACGTCGCTAACCAACTCGCTAGTGAATGGAGTGGATCTCGCTCTTAGTCGTATTTCTTGCGGAGAACAACGCAGAGCTCGAATAGTAAGGCAATTGTGGATCCAGGCTAAAGGTATGTTGCATGTGCATTCTTTGCGCTTAGTGGTTCAGTCCTCTTTATGTATGCTGCATGTGGTCTGTTAATGCAGTGTCTCACTACATCACACATACTAGAAAGCTTGGGGTTGCGAGACCTACCAGCGGGGTATCAGCAATCTGACAGCAGTGCTCTCGTACTGATTCGGTAAACCGAATGCATATATAGCCAGGTCCTTGCCTAGCGTAATGCGCGCCAACGCCGCTGTGTCTAGTATACGATAGTTCTTGCCATGTGTATGCTACCCATCTTAGTACTAAGCGAGCGCGCGCGCTCACTAACTAAGCTCCCCTGAGAATGTATTCGCTGATCGCCCACCTCTTCTCTTGTTCACTGTTGTTTACACGGTTTATTATATTTCTCACAGTCTCAATTGATATTAACGCGACTCAACTCGCTGATATTGAGCATGGTTCTGGGCCCTGAGTGTCTGAGCCGAGTAATTAATGTGACGCACTCTGGGTGTTATTGAGGACTCCCAGGCTGTAGACAGTCCTCGTGACAACATACTTAGAGAATTTTGTTCATTCCAACTATTCGAGAATGTTACTGCGTGATCTTTACTTATCTGTTGCCCCATTAAAATTTATTATTTTTTGCATTTTGTATGATAACTCTTTGACTGCACGTCGGCGCGCTTGTGTTTGTGCATGTAATTGAAAACGGGTGATTTCTCTATTCGTCATTTCTTTTTTTGTTTGTATGTCATATGTGCTTTGGACATATGTCAGAGAATGTGCTGCTTAGTAATATGTGGCTAGATCGCCGTTGCGCATAGACGGTATGAGCGTTGTGCGGTCCGTGCATCCGGTCAACTCAGCTGTCCAGGCACAAACAGAATCTATGAACGGCCGAACTCTCAGATAGGCCAGTTAGATCGCAGCGTATTCCGATACCCGTGTTTGCCACCTTTACTCCGGGCAGTATCTCGTACATTTCGACGGTAGGGTGTAGCGTCTGGTACTGTTGACCGGGGTACAGACTCTTTCCTATGCCGATAGTAAGACCCGTGTAACGTCGTCTTGATTCATGTCTGTTTGTGCACGGCAGGCACAGCCTATGTTGTAGTACTTACTACTGAGTTCGAAGTCTCATGATTTCGTGGGTTGTGTCAAATAGTTGGTGTCAAAATGGTCTATGAGTTTTGAGATTTTGAATAACGAATATACGGAAGTGACGGTGCCTGTGGCGCAACTCTCATGCCCCTTAACTTAAGGTATAGGGAGGAAATGAGAATTGCCAGCAAAAATCTAAAACGGCTCGACTAGGCTACGTTGAGCTCGGTCGCTCGTGCCTTCGCGGGTGTTGTTTAGCATCATTGTGTAGGAAAAGCCATCACTGTGTTGACCGCTATATTGTGTGTTGCAGGAGGTCACAGGTCTCAAAGTTCATGGGGGCATCAGTGGCAGCATTTTAGGACATTCTGAGAGAATAGGCGTAGTGCGCATTTGCGAGCTATTGAAAAAAATGTGTTGCTATTCTATGACGGGCATGACCTTTTAGAAATCATTTTGATTTGGCTTTATTGAATAGCTGATTCATTAGTACGCATGAAATGGCGAAGTTTCCGAAAGACATGCCATAGGTAAGAGTAGAGACAAGATTAAGACTTTGGTACATACAGTTCCACACTGCTTCGGAATAAAGCTTTTGACCCTCTCATATACATGATTGACGTAAGCAGAGTTAAGAATAACATGGTAGTTTGATTTCACTGGTCTGTTAGACTAGTAACAGTAATTGTGACTTACTGACCGGTTTTACCAGCCACTACTAGTACTAGTACTAGTACTACCAGACGACGCAGGAGCTGAATTAGTAATAATGACTCACTCTGTACTAGCTAACCTTGGACTACTTAATGGACGTAACCCTAACCCATAACCTAACTATTATATTGATATATCATTATTTTTTATATTAATGTTAAATTGACATTGGTTTTTATTGCCCATGTCAGTGGAGAGATTTCTTGTGGGCGTACGCCAAATCATATATATATGACACTCCATGTGACGTAGTACCGACTATGTGTCCTCTTTCCATCAATGTTGCACAAGTTGCAATTTCACTAAGATTAGGCTACATAAGACTACAATTAATTGATTAGTGTGTGTACTTTGTGAAGGAACATAGTTGGTTATGCTCTCTTAATAGTCATAATTCTTTAATGGTAGTTACTACTTGTGTGAATGTCTCACGTGTGCTCTTACGCCATTGCTACAAAGTGATATGCCGACTCGCTCTTTATTGTATCTGCCGTGGCTGTTTATGAATAGGCGCTCGACCTTAAGTTACATCTGCACATGTGCTCGCTTTTGTATTTGCCTGCGTTAATTAGTTAACAGGTGGCAGCTCTCTATTTCAGCCTGTAGCTTGCGTAGGTAAATGGAATGGGTATTCAAGTTAGAAATATAATGCTAACTAAATACGAAATCTATTTACTACCAAATTTCTTAATGTTTTCTAGTATAGGCCCTACTCTCTTTCGAGACCTTTACGCGTTATTCTGTCGTCGTGCCAAAATAGTTGCGTGTTACTACTACGTTACTGATGAAGCTTCCATCTTTAATGTCACTTAGAAGCGACTTAAACGTACGTAACCATCATTCAGGACTACGGGACCAGCTCCTCCTTTCCCATAACTCGCAGATTAGCCATCGAGTGTACTAAGCTAAGCCGAGAGGGTGGGAGCTAGTGCCAGTCTATGCGGGCTATAGGCGGCTGGGCAGGCGGCGCACTGCTTTTCCAACTCTCTCGTACGCGCACAGCCGCCATACATTGTGAACGTGTTGCCAATCAGCAACGCGATAGCGTTCCTGATTGCCTCATTTCCCTAATTGCCTTCTACTGTTTCGGACGCGTCCCCTGTGGACGTCACATTTGGGGTATGCTAAAGCGCAGGGCGCGGCGAGATGTTCAGCTAGGATCCAACCACTCCACACAGAGTACCGCGCGTGTGAGATTTCCGTGTATTGAGCTGACAGCCGTTCGATTGAAGCTCGGCTGGTGCGAGGTTCCGCGTGCCTGTGAATGTTATATTGTTGTGCATCTACCATGACCTACGTGTATAATGCTAAGTGAGTAAATCCATTGTATCTTGTTGCGCCTCTGCTTCAGAGCTGATGATACATGATTACCCGAACTTACAGCTGGTCGGCACTGTATGCACTAACAAGACATGTCACTGCTAACATCGAATCACTATCCGCCTATAGCATGTGTTTAAGCTGTGGACGCAAGTGAACACTGTTCACGCGGTGCTTCGCAGAACTATCTATATACAGGGATGAGATTCTTCCGCGGTGTCTGCCTCTGCGATCGCTCGGAAATCTGCAGATTGACAGTTCCAGGGCGTCGATTTTGTGAAACCATCTCTAAGATTCGTTTCCAGAAACCTATGCTAACAATTGTGCGGAGACTGTTGCGCTGGGCAGCATATGGATTTCT